TCCCCCTAAATCATAATTCATAAACCCTAAATCCTGAACCCGACACCCAAAGGGTAGATCCTGTTAAGGGAGGGGTCTGGGAAGGGGGTTCTGCCTACGGTGATTGTGGTGGCTTGGCAAGTTGATATAGTTTAAGTTATGACAGGCGCCTTGGCTTCCCTAAACCCTAACCCTTTGTAATGTGCTGTGGTCAGTCTAGGTAGGATATGCGGGTTCAGGGGCCTCAGTGTATGGAGTGCCGCCGCAAGGGCCCCCCCTCCCCAGCCCATGATGCTGACGATTATCAACCAGAGCCCGTATACCTTAATCCTCCAGAACCTGCGGCTCTTTGTAGTTGTTTGTAAAAATACTAGAAAGGGCATCTAGTAGGGCACTACAACAAGCAGAAACTCTAGACCCTAATCCCCTAAGTCCTAAACCCTAATCCCCTAAGTCCTAAACCCTGATCCCCGAAGTCCTAAACCCTAATCCCTTGAGTCTTAAACCCTAACCCCCTCGGTCCTAAATCCTAGTCCCCTAAGTCCTAAACCCGCCTAAAGGTTATGGTATCAAGGGCAAATGACAGTTCAACAGGATTCCGAAATTCGAAGATCCCCAGCGAACCTACGTCAACGCACTAAGCTGGGAAGCTTTGCACGTGCAAGGAGCATAGGACGAGGAGCCTTTCCAGAGAGGGATAGTCAAAATCCTTCTTTGCTCAGCGACGCTTGCGAAGCTTGGGCATTCGCAGCCTCGATTGCGGAGATTCACCTGGGAAAGCCGTTGTTCGCCACTGTGGCAGATGTCCTAAGCTTTGGCAAAGTGCCGAAGAAGTGCCTCCTCTCTATGCCCTGAGCCCGCCCCTGAAGTCTGCTCAACCATAAGCGCTAAATCATAAGCCCTTGACCCTAGACCCTTTGTCAAAGTCTTCTCCAGCAGAAACTTTGAAACTTGAAAGTTGTGATCCCATCCCAGTCATTCGCAGGAGGCTGTAGTAAGACTCTATACCCGAATCAAGGTTGGCACGAAGAGGGTTTCGGGTTTAACGCTTGCCGGCTTTAGAACCCTTTGTACCCCTAAACCCTGAACCCTAAACCAAGAAACCCCAAACCAATAAATCCTAATCCCTAAAGCTTGATTCCAAAACCCTAAAACCTGAAGCCTAAAGCCTAAACCCCTTCGGAGTTTCTAGCACCCTGGAAGGAGCCCGCAAAGGACCCTTTCAGGAGCCTTGAAAGGAGCCCTACTTCCCCTAAAAGTCCCAAGTACCTAATAATCATATGCTCTCCCAAATATTAACCTAGAGAACTACTATCCGCAACCAAAGTACCTTGTCATTGTGTCTTGCGGACCCTTTACAAGCCTCTTTAGAAACCCTACAAATCCCTAAAGATCCCGTATGGATCCCTCAAAGAACCCCTTATTATTGGGTCCTTTGAACCCTTAGGGTTCTATAAGGGCTAAACCCATAGACCCAATATTAATAGTAGTTCGGTTTTGGGATTACCTAAGAGGATCCTAGGTATAAGCCACAAAAAAGGAACTACTATAAAGCACTGTTGATGATCTAAAATCCTGCATTACCTTAAGGACCCTAAACTATGGGAAGTATGGGAATTAGGGTTTAGGGTTTAGGGCATTACCTTAATGGGGCCTATGGATAAACCCTGAAGCCAGCTAAGGGCCGGCTGCGGAGTTTCGTGGCCGACGGTCCGCTGGATGTGCTCGCAGGCACCGGTGTTGAACGGTAAATCATGGTATATTGAAGTAGATCATCGAAGAAAGGCGTATTTCAGAATAGTCTAGTTGTTGTAGTATAGTATGGTGTATCATGATATCATACTACAGAATACTATAGTTTACTATAGTATATTGTGGTAAAGTAAAGTGTAGTATTGTACACCATTGTATGCTAAGGTATATTAAAGTACACTATAGCAGTTGTAGTATGTTATTGTATACGCTTGTATACTATGGTATATCATAGTTTGGGAATCGACTTTGAGAGGAACTGTGTGTCTCATTATCTTGCATGTCCTCTTGTAATGGCATAGGCCAGATGCAGTCCCTTTGCTTTCAAGGGAACCCGGTGTCCTTGGATTCAGACCTGGAGTCGTTGCCCATATATGTTGCTTCGGTTGTGTCTTATAACTAGATAACTGGTCAGGCCGCTACATTGACGGATAGGTCGTTACACGGCTGTTTAAGAGTGGAGCACCCCAGGATACTGGACAAGTAAGCCGACCTATTCCAGTGTCCTCGCAGTGCTTCACTGGGCATCCTCGCGAGTGTTGGTTCTGGATCGCGGCATTGTACCATTCCTCTTACTACTACAACTACAACTACAACTACAACTACAACTACAACAACTACTGCTACTACTACTACTACTACTACTACTACTCCTGCTACTACTACTACTACTACTACTACTACTACTTCTTCTACTGCTTCTACTACAACAACAACAACTACTACTACTACTACTACTACTACTACTACCACTACTACTAATACTACCACCTTCAATAACTACTACCACCTTCAATCGGCCCGACATATTGTGGGAGCCGTATAAGGCAACTCCGATCCAGAAACCCATTGGCCAATGTTTGCTCCCACCCCTGATATTGATTCTCAGATCCTGCAGTTTCATGGAGACCTACAGGAACATAGGGGCTCGACAAATTCACCGATGCTATTTCTTAGGGCTCCCTATTGTTAATTATGCTATACTATACTGCACCCCCCCTCCTCCAGAATCTTATTGTTATTTCCTTACTTGATGTTATTAAGGTTTCATTTTTGCGTTGACCCTTATGGAACCTTTTTCTGAACTATACCCTAAACCCTAGACCCTAAACCCTATACCCTAGACCCTAGACCCTAGACCCTAAACCCTAAACCCTACAACCGAAGCAGCCCCGAAGTCCTCGCGAGGCTTCATAATTCTGGTCAACGCGATCGTCCTCATGGTCGAGATGCAGATTCGAGCGGGTTATGCCCAAGAAATTCTGGGCATCTCGTTCATAAGATCCTCTTAGGGTTTAGGGGTGTTAGGTTTAGGGTTCCCCAGCACCCTCTTGCCCATTTTGTTATTTAGGGCTCCGGTACAAAAGCTAAATAGCAGCGGAAAGGGTACCGTTAATATTGGACAGTCGGGAACCTAGGTATGTATCCGACGATACCCCAGACTGTCGACCGGCCAGAGATCTTCGAAACCATCGAATACATCTTTCTGGCCTTCTATGTCTGCGAGATGCTGACACGAGTTGTGGTGCTGCGGAAGAGTTGGTTCTATACCGCGGAGGACGACATGGGAAAAGGGGGGGGAGTGTATCTCTTTTGGGTCTCGCCTTCCCTAAGGCTCCAGCTACCTAGTCACATCTGATAACCATATAGTCATATACTCTCCTAAATCATACAAAGCTACTATCCCTAAACCGGCGTATCTAATAATGAGATCCTTTGGACCCTTAGGGTTTGTGGAGTCCTTCATAACTATGACCCCCAAAACCTCGAATTTGATGGTTGAGTCCTCGGTTTGCTGAGACCGCGCACATATCTAGAAGTATTTGCTTACATGTGGGTAATTCTCGAAATCAGGGCCCAATTATTGTAGGAAACCAGCAGGCATCACGCAGGTTATGAAAAGAAGGGCTTCTTTCGGGGTTTCTACATGTAGCAGGATTTCTACAAGGGTTTCTGTACGGGATGTGGGTAGTTCTCTAACTCAGGGTCCTTTGTTAGGAACCCAACGGGCACCCATGTAAAAAGGACCCTAAAACAAACCCTAATTGAGATAACTACCCATGTGCGCGTGTACAAATTAAACGCATATGCAACATATCTAGTTAATCTAGTTAGTACGTCGGTTTATTACATATAATGTACAGGTATACATGTATATATATATACAAATACACATACATAAACACACACCTATATATATATATACTTTACTTGCATGTGCATGTACACATCGATGCATGTTTGTGTGTGCATGACATTGGTTTGGATTTGGAAGGACGTGTAATGCTTTCATGGTAGCCTGCATGTATGCATGAATGGGCGAGGTTACATATGCATCCATGTGTCTATGCATTTACAAATAAATGTACACATACGCACATATTATGCTGTTGCCTGCATGCACGAATGTATTGCTGCCGTTACTGACTGATGCACGCATTCATATCTCTGTGCTCACTTAGATAACCCCGAACCCTAAACCCTAAACCCTAAACCCTAAACCCTAGTAGTTGTGCATGCATTCGCTTTTACATGCATGCAGGAAGAGACGGCAATGCATGAACAAAGGTGCATGCATGAATGGTTCTGTCAGATGCATGCGCACACAGCCCGGCGGCCCGGTGCGAGGCTTCTATGTGCTTATGTTCATTCATCGACATGGTTCTTGACCTGTTATCTTAGTTTCTTGGCTCTTATTGTTCATGTAAGAAAGAGCACATAGAACCAAACATGCGATAGGCTACATCCTTGATACATACAAACATACAAGCATACTTGCATCGCGATGTACATGCACCCGTGCATTCACGCACGCAGACATACATGCATGTCTACATGCATGGATGTGTGAAGTCATTTTTTGCAAGAGCTCCTAGAATGGTTTATACGGTTTAGAGTTTAGGGTACTGCACTGGCAGTGCCCTAAACCCTAAACCCTATAAACCCTAGGCCCTAAACCCTAAATCCTAAACCCTAAACCCTAAATCCTAAAGCAGGAGGGCCTGATCTGGGGCAACTATTTCGATGCCATGATTGTGGTCTTTGGCGTGGTGGACGTCTTGGTCCAGAAAGTAGCACTGCCACAAGAAGGACCACGGTTTAGGGTTTAGGGTTTAGGGAAGGACCACGAAGGGTCCAAGTAGTCCATAATTTACGGCAGTTGAAAGCCCAACAAAAAAGCCGAGGCTTGAAATTTTGTGCAACCTGCATCACCAGAATCCAATATCAGCCCTTACCCTAACACGTGAAAAGGGTCTTTGCCTCTTGAGCTCCACCCAACAAGAGTCCGCTATGGCACAGCAAACCCAACTGTCAGCCGGGCACACAGCACACTGTGAGCATTCAAACAGGACCCGAGACCTTAATCCCGAACCCCTGAACCCCGTTTTGTAAGGGAGAGATCTTGTAGCAAGTTTCCATATATTACAAGCGTTCACACTCCAGTCGATCGCACTTCGCAAGCCTGCACTATAGTAAGTGCCTTCTCGACCCTAAATCTTAAGCCACAAGCCGAGGTGCCGTCCGAGGTTGTTGCTGCTTAGGATTTGGGTTGCTGTCTTTGTGTTTCGGACATAACTCTAGTCTAGTCGCCTTAGGACAGAATTAGTGTAGACGCGAAGCAAAACACATCTCTCCCTCTCTGTAGATGTACATATATATATATATATATACATATGTGTATATATATATATATAGAGCTATGCACCAATGTACATTCACATACATGCATGCATGCATGGATTCGTACACATGTGTATATATATATATATATATGTGTGTGTGTGTGTGTACATATACCCAGCTAGAGAGATCGATAACTAGATAGATGGATGGATAGATATATAGGCATACCTATGATTTTTGATATCCCTGCGAAGGTAACCGTAGGCCAAAGCCTGAGGGTTCAGGGTTTTAGGGTTTGCGTCTAGGGTTTGGTCTGATTTAGGACTCCTCGAAGGCTTCAAACTCCCTGACTATGCGCGGTCTGACACCCAAAGCCCTCTAGCTATCTAAGCCCTAAACCCTACAGCCTAAACCCTAAAGCCTAAAGCCTAAAACCCTCAACCCTAAACCCGAAACCCTAAACCCGAAACCCTAAACCCTAAACCCTAAAACCCTAAAGCCTAAACCTCACTGCTCTCACCCGGAGCTGGCCAAGACATCCTAAGCCCTCTAAGCAGCCCAAATGCTCTGAATCCCTCGAGAGTCTCCAAGGTAGTACTAGGGAGACCCCTTAAAACGGGACCCTTCTTAAAGCTCGTAACCCTACTTGTGGCTCTCCTACAAGGGGGACCTTATTGAGAGGGTTTATATCCCCAAGGGTAACCCTAAACCCTAAACCCTAAAACCCCTAAACCCTAAACCCTAAACCATGAATCCTAGTAAGTTTCGCCAATGGCCAATGAGTGAATGAATCCTTACTCCTGGAGTCGTGGCTTCAGAAGGAGAGACCCATTTTGGCGCGGTCCTTCTCCGCCTGCTCAAAGTCTTCAAGGTCAGCTTCGTCGTCAATAACTTGTTCTTCTGGTTCGAGAATTTCTTGTTGCTCCGTGGTGTTTTTTTGTATAAGGTCAAAGCTATTCGCAGGGGTCCTGCACGTGTTGGGATCGATATGGTGCTCCTGTAGTCTTCCCAAACTCCCAGAAAGGTCTGCGTAAGGGGCTGAGTCAAAGGGCTTTAGTGCGCTGCATGAATGAGTGTTCAACAGCCGTGTGTTTGGTTTAAGATTTACGGTTTGCGGGGGTCGAGTCTTGGTCCCTGCAAGTTGACGAAGACGCTGCGACTGGTCCGTGTGATGCAGCTCTTCGCCCAGCTGCGCAGCATGGTGGATACTGGGCTTTTGTTGGAGTAGTCAGTTTCCACCGTTAAACAGATCCTTCACTTCGTATTTTCCCCTACCACCGTAGCTAATCCTTAACCCTAATTTCAACAACGTTCCTCAGTACAACTGCCGAGGACACCTTCTTTGCGAGCCTGTCCTCGCTATTCTGGTCCATGATCATGTTGCTCCTTGGTCTTCGACTTGGTTGGCTTGGGCAAAAACAAAAATATGTGTATATAATTTGCAAATTCACAGATGTATACGGTACTTATCAGGACACTGCTGGAATTTCATTGTTGTGACACCGCGACATACACGTTATCTTCCTGAGTCAGCTGTTTCTCTGCACGAAATTGTACTCCGGTGCACAGATGGGTTTAGGGTTTAGCATTTAGGGTTTAGGGGGTTCAGTCCAGATTAAGTTTTCTTGTTCAGCGATCTTGCTACTGTTGCGGGAGAGTAGCCTTGCTTCAGTCTGAGTCTAGGATGTGATTTTTTGGTTGTAATGTATGTCGCCAGTCATTGCGTCTTGGTTTTCAACATGTGAAAAGATGTTGTGTCCAGTATGCTTGCGCCTAATCTGGCTCACTGCAGCATGATTCGGATGTGGCAAAAACGTGTCCGCCAGACCGCAGGAGGACACGATTATAACTCCGTAACTTTAATGGTAGCTGCGAGTTTTGCTATGCAAGCTACTATACCGGGTACTATAAGGTTTTACTAATTCACGGACTATGGAGCGAGTTCAGGTCGTTTCAAGTTGTTCCCATGCGCACAGAGCGCTGCTAGACCTAAACCCTAAACCCC